TTGCTAAAACAAAGAAGCAATGGGTTGTAAAAGCAATGAAAAAAAAGAAGGAGTGCCAGTACATTGATAAACTACTTGCCGAGGTTGTGAATGCATGCAAAACATAGGAGATTGAACTTGTACATCATGGCGAGAATATTCCAAAGAACATTTCTAAATCATGTCCACCCAGGAAAGAAGTACTTGTAAAGGAGCATCAGTCTAGATTTGCATAAAATGTCAGTGGTGATGCTAAGTTTTGCCATGCCCATATAATATGATGTTGAATCAGTCAAGACAACTTATGTACATTCATTCTTAAATATTAACATAGCAAAACCAACATAGTGGAAGCCTTCAAATTGAAATTCCTCTGCAGGGCCAGGTGGAGGAAATGTTTCTCTAATGCAAGTAACTGCACATAATGGCAAGACGACTCTTACTTCTTTACCCAAGATACCCCAGCACCATCTTGTCAACTGTCTATATGCAATATGGCGGTACAGTTTGTCTTTGGGCCCATCATATGCTACCTCATATTGCTGCTTGTACAGGTACCAAGCTGTTTGAAAAACCCACCTGTTAAGACATACCAGCTCAAAACCAGGATGTTGTGTAATGCACAAAGGGACTTCGGTGGTCTAATTCGTTTCTACTGCCTCTACATTTTTGTCACAAATATTGGAAATCTCTTTGCAGCATAAACATTCCTCGTTATTGTCCATTATTTGGTAGTTACCACATTGACACCTGAATATGTTAAAAGAAAGGATCTTGAAAAGTAAATGTCTAAATTTCAATAAAGATTGTATCTTACAATAAAAACTTAAAATCTGAAGTATTATGTGTGTGTGGACGTGGTCAACTTCAAAAACTGAAAACGTTCTTTCGAAATCTAAACAATGGTTTAGAATAATATAACATTTTATTACTCACCATTCAAGATTGTCGCGCCGAGGTTCATCCTCAATATACACAAATTCCTGTTCTTTGTTGTCCTCAAACTGGTTAGCTTCTTGTGTTCATCAGCCGTCCATTCGGGCTCAAACTGATATGGCCTGAATATTGTTTGCTGGATTGTCTTCTATTTCATTATCGATTGGTAAATTAGCCCGAGGTTCTTCCAAAAAGCCATTATAAGCGATTGTTTTGTTGTTGTTTTTGTGCTGTGCGTTATTATTTTACTTTGTTGTTAACACAACTCCAAATCGGTTTGACGATATGACGTCAAAATATTTTCCGCTGACGCTTTCTGTGCCCACTGCTAAACCTCAAAACAGCTCAAATAGCGCACTTGAAGACGCGATTTTGTGCAAAATAAAATAGCTGATGTAAAAATTTCAAAATATAGTAACCTTTGCATAAAAATGGAACTTTTAAGACCAACATTATGTGAGGGTGGAGTTCCCTTAAGCTCATTTGTCTATCAATGTAAAAAGGCTTGTACGTGGGTTTAGTTGGTTTGTAGCAGATTGCATTATAGGCTCTTTTGATGACTAGATTGTTCAACTGGTAATTCTAATAGTTTAAACTATCTTCAACTTAATTTACAGTCAATTCTTGACTTTATTTAATTTACAACATTTTTCTGCAATATTGTAGCTGATTATTTAGCAGCTCGGTATATTATAGCGGAGTTTTATCAACAGAATTAAACACAAGCCCTCAAAGCATACCATCAGACTTATTCTTTAAACTACTCAAGCATTTCATTGTGGCTTTGTTGAATAACTTCTAAAGCACAAATCATATAAAGATTTGTATGGTTTTATTTATTATGTAAATAAATAAAACCATCAGTTTGGACATACGTGGCAATGTCATTTCTCTCTCAAAAATCTTCAGTAAATGTCAAGAATGGCTGAAGTTAAGATTGTCGTCTTAATAATCGTATGGTGGATTGCAAGACTCTTACATTTGAGTTTTCCAAAGATGAAATTTCAATTACCGAGCAATCATTTGGCGCATAAAATGTCGACTTAACTTGGCAATTAATTGTTGTTGTTTAGGGTCAGATTTTATTATTTCTTCAAGCGAAGATTATGGTTTAAAGATCATTCAGAGTTATAACAGTTTGGTGGCTGTCGCTACTAATGTTATCGGCCATCTTTTAGTCAATGTTTTATATGCATTTGTAAGCTCAAGCGTGACTCAGGTAATCAAGTCTACTGAACTTTTATTTACATATATTTTTATTTCTACCAGCAGCAAGTGGAAGATAAAAAACAACGTAACGGCTTCAGTGTTTGTATCAATTATGCTTATGTCACTAGGAATGACTCTTTTGATGTCAAATACAGAGCGCAATGTTTACGGAATTGTAGCTGCAGTTGTGTCAAGTATTTTATTTCCACTTCGTAACATCGCTTTAAAAAGAGCACATGGGCAATTTTACGACGGGGCTATTGAGATGTACTTCAATTTATCATTCTATGGTGCTTCTGGCCTCTTACCGTTGGTAATTTTTAAGTTCTTCCTGCCATATAATGCCTTACACCTTTCTTTTAATAATATAACGTCGGGAACATTTCACGGATTGTACAACCTGGCTTCTATCTTAGTTCTCCAACATGTTACCCCATTAAATCACGCGCTCTTAAATTTTTGCAAACGTTTACTAGAATTTACATTCAGCATCAGGTATTTCAACGTTCTAACCTGGCAATTGGTGACCGGTTATGTTATTGTTTTTTTTGGTCTTGGAATATATCTTATTAATTATCAGAATGAAAATAAGCTTTTGAATGTTCGCACATGTTTAATTGGAATGGCTAAAATTGTCTTTTATTTGCTCCCTTTAACACTTTTGTGGACTGCAGTTTTTCAAAATATTGTGTATGTTGAACAAAGTGAGAGCTTTGCTCATCAACTCTCTAATACCAGGTCTGTAAGTGGTAACTTTACTACTGCTTGGCTTTTCAATAAAAACGGTTTTCAGTCGTTCGTTAGTAGTGTAGAAAGTCTTCACAAACAAACCAAGATACCCGTAAATGTGTATTGTGGGACTATGGCATGTGTGAATGCCGTAGAACGTCTAAAACACCTTTGATTTCAGCTAAATTTATTATCGTTGAGATGTATTGGACGAGACCCCTTTAGAAAAATGGGGTGGACGTCATATTTTGTATAAGATATTGACTGGAGTTCATTTTGAATGGTACTTAACTGAGGCTCTTTGTCTTGCGCATTTGTGGCGATACGGTGGAACATTTTACTTTCCCTCATATAGAGAGTACAGTGAGAAACAAAAGGTCATAGATGACATATTTCCTGTATTTTGCTTGAAAAAATATTAAAAGCTTTCATTCGAACATCAAAAAGGATTGCCGGAAGGGCTAACATAGTCATGGAAAAATCAACAAGTTTGTTTTTACAATGAGACAATGGAATCCAGCAAATTTACCTTCATCGTTTAAAGGAAATGTATGGAATGCTTACTCGAGACACTGTGATCTTTATAAACGCTGGTGTTTAATTCGGAATCCAAAAAGCCTGAAAGATCTTTACCACGAGAAAGGAATGACTCTTAGTGATAAGGACCAGCATTTCGAAATACTCTCCCTAGACAGTCTTGTTGGTTTTCGTAATCATGGGAATATTGGTGATGAAATGCAGACACTTTCCGGCATTCAGTTTTTTCCGTTTCTCGACTTTTTCTACGATAGAGATATGCCAATTGCGCCCAATGTCGATGGCAAGAGTTTTGTCTTTTTCAATGCTTGGTGGGGTAGACGAAGTCGTAAATGGCCACCACCTTCAAATATCAATTCCATTATGTTATCAGTCCATGTTAACTCTTCATTTCAAAATGTCATTGCACAAAATCCTGATATGATTGTTTTTCTAAAATCAGAACAGCCTATAGGTGCTCGTGATACGAAGACTAAAAAATTTCTGGAAACATTAGGAGCTCGATCCTTTTTCTCTGGATGCATGACAATCTTTCTTAAACGTCCAGTAGCATTAAGTAAACGGAATGAAATAATTTATATTGTTGATGTAAAACGGGAAGGCTATGATGTGCTACCAAATGGGTTAAGCAGAGCGCAAATTCGTAAGCCATAATGTTGATTTTGGGCGAAATAAAACTTTGATGACAAAAGACGTCATTTGCATGCTTATCATTTGCTTAAATACTCAAATGCTAAAATTGTGGTCACGCAGAGAATTCACGTGGCACTACCATGCGTTGCTTTGGGCACACCTGTAATCTTTTTTGATGGAAATAGAATGCCTGGAGGTGGAGGAAAAGGCAACAAAAGTTCGGATAGTTAGCTGGTCTTACTGAAATGTTCCATTTAATTGATCTTCACAAATTGACCCAAAAAGAAGAAAAGAAAAACTTACACAGTTTAACTGGTCTAGCACACCCAGAAATCCAAATCTTGGCACGTATGAGACTGATTTCATCAATGTGGAATGTAATTCGCCGGAAGAACGTTTTTTATGAAAGTGCACTTCGTTTTGGCATGATACCACTTACACCCAAATGGTTGATAAATGTCAACAATCCTATTTTATCTTCCATATAATTCTGGATAACGAAATATACTATTCACATAGAGATCATCGTGGATTACAATGGTATCAACAAGGTTGCATTGAGTCTATTTTACGTAATCATCTTCTGCACATTTATATGTGCACAGCAATACAGTAGATCAGACATCGTTTGACTTTCTCACTGAAGTTGGTTGTCAAATTTATGTAAAAAAATACTCAGTAGCTAGCTTGATAAAGAACACACCGTTGAGTAACATCCAGCATCCAGCTTTTTTAGAGGACAGTGATGGAAAAATTCTGAGAAAATATGGAATGTTAAGTTTATTACTTTTGTATCAATACGGTGGAGGATACTTAAATGATGATATAACTTTTAAAACCTTTAAATTTTTCATTTGGAACCAATTTGAACTTGATTGTTGTTGATGAAAAATCAAAAGTATTTTCTTCGATTGTTTTCTTTGAAAAGGATCACGAATTTCTTCATGAAGTCCTAGAAAAATTCTCTTTTGATTACAGCACAACAATGAACGTTCGATAAGTGAATCTTATGTCAAAGGTTTGTGCATTGTTAATAATTGTCATTATCGCCTCTTTGTTGTTAGTTTTCCGATTTGCAATATCTTCAATCGAATAAATGTACCGTAACTGCGTAAAAGCACTATTGATACTGCGCATTTGATAAAAACGACAAGTTTTTTTTTAAATAAACATGTTTCAACATCTCATGATGCCAACCTCAGTATTATAAGGAGTATTATGTATGTGGTAAATATATATAATAATTATATGATTCTGTGATACAATTTATACACTTATCAATAGATTATTCTATTACAATGAAATAGTGGTTAGAATTAATGATGGAAATATTTACAGGCTGATTATAGCCTATGAAAATGTTAGCAAGTATATGTGCTAGGGGAGAACCCATCGCAACACCATCGGTCTGTTTATAAAATTTTCCATTAAGTAAAAAATGTGCCTGTGTCTAAACTAAACTAACTATTCACCCTCTTGCTTTAAAATCATCGACACTGCAGATACCACATTCGCACTCTAAATCAAAGAAGCACTTCACATCAACAAAACTAACCCTAATCCTAAAGTTAAAGTTTTTCGTTTTAACATTATAATCAGCCTGCAAATATTTTCATCATTAATTCTAACCACTATTTCATCATAATATAATAATCTATTCATAAATGCATAAATGGTATCACAGTATGATTATTATTATTATTATTATTGTATATTCTATCATACAAAATACTCCTTATAATACTGAATATGGCGTCATGAGATGTTGAAACATGTTTATTTTAAAAAATTTCGTTTTATTAAATGCGCAATACTTATAAATTTAATACAAACATTTGCATTCGTAGCTATGAGTTAGCCCAATGGAAAACGAATTCTTGATATGAACATAATTACATGTTTGTACATGTAGATCGTCCAGGTTAGTAGAGTTCTGAGAAGGACTGTTTTTGTTGTTGTTGATTGACGTCTCGACAACCTTAGCGGTAGCCATCTTTAGAATCAAAGACGGTAATGCTGGTCATGCTCAGCACGACTAAAAATTTCCTCATAAATTTTTTCCATAGTTTTATTTTCATTATACATTCTGACAACTAATAATTTCTTGTAGATTAATTTATTAACATAATATGACTATTTGGGACGAAGGTCAACCATTGTATTGCGTTTTATTCCACAACGTTTTCACACTAGAACTTATTCTACCCTTATAAGAGTGACTTGGTATTGCTCTGAAAAATCTCTATGACCAAATAATATATTTTATGGTAAAATTATCCGTAATTTGATTGGATAAAATCATCTCAGCATGCTCAAACGCGACGTCTAACGTCAATTGGTCATGCTGATTTTAAAAGGCATGACCAACTTAATCCCGCAAGTAATCTTATTTGTCTGCGAGACTCGTGTTTGTAGTTCGTGCACTTTGGAAACATGCACGAACTATATTATTGCATTATTTATTTTCCTTTCTCTGCTGCCGAAGGAGATATCATCGGTTATTTGCCATGAAAGCTTTCTTTGCTTGACAATCTGGCCAGCAAAAGATTATTGTAAAGCGAATGGCAAATGGCAAATTTGTAAACAACATCATGTGTAAACAACAAACAATTACATGGAACACCAATGGGCTCACCCGTTTCTGTTGGAGTTGCTGCAATTGTAATGCAATCTATAGAGGAACGGGCGCTCACGACTTACAAACATGCACTATCCTTTTGGTTCCACATAGATGACACAATCACAGCACTACATGCTGACGAGTTTGAAGACTTTCACACTCACATCAACAAATAGAACAGCCACATACAATTTACCAAAGATGTCGAAGAAAACGGAACTCTTCCTTTCTCGACTGTTTGTGAAACAAGACAATCAAAACTACAAACAACAGTTTATCGCAAACCAACACACACTGACCGACTACTACAACAATCATCTTACAACTCTACATCACACAAAGCCACCACAATCTGAACATTAACAAGACATGCACAAATCATATGTGATTCACCGAACGCTCTACACAACAAAAAAAAGTATCTCAAATGTGTTTTTGACAAAAATAACTATAACTCCCACTTTATCAAACGCAACACTTACTAACCCAACGAACCCAACGAAACGAAAAACTCAGTGACAACAGCAACGACATCTGACATCAAGGGTACCTCTATTTTTAACATACCATAGCTGCTTTTTTATATTCTTGTAGGAATAGACAGTTATATCATATTTTTAATGTATTTGTAACCAAATATTTACTGGCATATTTATTTATTATCTTAAAATAGATTTCAGTTTTTGTCATTATTGCATTTTGCTGGTAATTTTACGATAACTCTATGTTTTCAATAAACTGTTCTTTGTATACTTGTTCACTGCCTCGAAATACAACTCGTTATTAGGAGTAATTCTTTTGGAGTTAGCATGACTCTCTAAGTGTGGAGTGTTAAAATAACTCTATAAAGGAATTGTAGAAATATCTCCTTTATAGTTATTTTACCACTTTTTGAGTTATGCTTACCCCCAAAGTGGAGATATAATTTTGGAGTAAAATTTAACTCAAAAAAAGTAGTCATTCTGTACCTTTTTATTTAACTCCACTTTTGAAGTTAAATCAACTCCTTGAATTTAGCAATGTAGTATTTCATGTTTATTTACTTTTCGCAAAGGTCTCTAGAGAAAAATGAATTGATATCTGGAATAAAATTTTCCACAAAAATAATTAAAAACTTTCAGTGAAAATATGTTAATAAATTTTGGCAACTGATCCGCTGAATAATATTTGCTTCTGGCTCTTTTATGGTGTTCCCATATGTTTTTCTTTTGATCAGTTATTCGCAAATGTCCTTCTACAGACTTCAAGCATTTTTTCTAAGATTTTCAATACACCTAACTAATGAAGGTCTAGAATTTTTTTCATCTCAAGTACTGCATTCTTCTTTGGTGGGATCACTATTACTTACACGCATCTCAGTGTTATCCTCTGCCACAACAGCAAAGAAAACCGGAACAAACATTTGCACGATGCTCAGTTTCATCAATGGGAAAAATTTGAAAGCAAAATGGAATTCAACTTTTGGAAATTTCGGGCAAAGACAGTGGCCTGACGAAGGCAATTGTTTAAGGAAGTAGATGGCCCTTTGTGTCTAAAACATTCGTTAAAAATGCTGATGGTTTCAATATGGTTTCAATCACCTTTATGAACTTCATGTTCTGACGTCTCACCTCTACTGCTAAGTTTTTCAACTAAGTTTTTCAACTAAATTTTTCAACCGCTAAAGTTTTAGCAACTCTACTGCTAAGGTCGCAACAGCAAAAATGATCTAATTTAAGCACATTTAGCTTGGCCAGAATAGCAAAAACGTCCAAATCTTAACCATGTCTAGACACAGCGGGCATCTCAAAGCCCGCGCCTGTTGGTTTAAGACTATTTAGCCCTCGGGATAATCTTCCATTGTGTGTGACAATCATTAGGAATTTCTTCGTCTGACCTCTCATCATTATTATCTTGCAAGTCATTATCTGTTGAATAGATGCCTGAGTCATCTTGAGCAAGAAAGGGTTTTAAATCGGCATTTTTTAATCGAAGGAACACGGAGCATCTTTATCAGTGGAATAACCAAAACAGAGACCTCCTTACACCTGCACAAGTGGAAAGGTTTGGAGGATCAGTTCCAGGAACAATTTTCACCTCTGAACCATCTTTAAGACCAACATATATTCAACTTTTGACTTAAAATCTTGATTGAACGTAGATTTGCTTCAAGGTTGCTCCCTTCATTATTTGGTCGAAAGTAGCTGACGCAAAAATTTTTAGAGAGAGTGCATTTCCTCTTTTTGCCTTGTTGTTCTCCATAATTGCAATGGTAATTTTAACTTTAATGTCCCCAAGCTTCGAACGTTTTTGTCTTTTCTTTCGCACAAAAAAAAGAGTTCCGTCTTTTTGTTTTACGTTTCACCTGTTGTATCTACAATTTGGCTACAGGGCAATATCCAAACGTTGTATCGAGACGTGTTCTTTAAACATGACAGAACTTGTTCCTTTGCGTAGATGTCATGTTTTTGAGTTGATAAATTAACATAATATACTCATTATTTAAATAAATATCTGTTCACTAAATAAATCGCAGTTCATTATATAAATCTCTGTTTGCTAAAAATATCTGCTCACTTTTACCTAAAGTAATTTCTAATTTCGCCTAATAAATCCCATTCTTTAATAAATCACTATTTTCTTAAATATCTCTTTTGCATTTGTCGGTCACAGTAAACATTACATAAATCGTCTCCAGAAAACTTTACAATGTTCTCATTTAATAATTATGCAAAACTTTTAAAATTAAAATAACCAAATTTACCTAACTTGAGAATTTCTCAAAACAATACTCGTCAATAACCAGTTTTAAGCTTAAAGTTTTTCCCGGTTTCAATGCCTAGAAATCCTTTAACGCCTCACCGAATCCCTGTTATCCGGGCTCGTCTAAACAGTCACTCGGCATCGATATTCCGTCTCCGATTTTATGGATAAATAAACTGTAAAATGATCGGTAAAAATAACCATATGATTGGTTACAGTAACCATAAAAATATTTGTTAAAGTGGTTAAATGCGTCTGAGGTAACCAATTTTAATGGTTATTTTAACCAATCAGTTTTTACAGTGTAATATGGAATTAGCAGTGTCAGAAAAGACATCCTTTTTAAAAGCGGCAAATTTGTCCGACTAACTGGTCTCCGTTCTTTCGGTTCCATAGTTCTTGTGTGAACGCAAGACAAAAAAGGATAGATTTCAGACCGTTTCCAAATTCGCACAGTAGCGTGTAAGCGTTGTCTTGAGCAATAAAGTTGCACCGCAAACGAAGAATTTAGTCGTAAAACCAGCACAAAACTCGCAACACCAACAGGAACAAAAATGAAAATCCAAGAATTATAGTGTGGAAATATATTGTTTTTTAATTAAAAACGAAAATTTAAAACATATAGTATTTGTTATCATCATACAAGTACTGAAATTTATGCGCAACAAAACGGTGAAATAAAAATCATGGGCTTAAAATTTCCAAGCACCTGAAATAATATATCATTTTCACTCGTGACAAAATGCATATCAAGTTTTACCGCTAATTGTGGACAGCATTAAAATCAAAACAAAACAACCAGTTTAGATTGTACCTATATCAATGGCTTCGAAATTTGCGGAGACATTGCCTGTCAAAGAGTTTATTAAATGTCAGGAAGATATTAACACAAGAAAAAAACGTTGCAGGATACACGACATTTTGAAGAATATTTAACTTCGAAAAATGAGTGCCAAAAAAAGCGAGGATATTTTCGTCGAAAAATTGAACGAATACTTAAGCGAATTTATCATTTCTGTTAGAAAGAAAGAGGACAACAGTGAATATGAACCAACTTCCATACGTAATAATTTTGTTACATTTGAGAGATACTTTAAGAAAAAGAACGGGTTTAGTATTATGATGGACATGGATTTTGAGCTTTCCCAAAAAGCTCTGCTATCAAAACAAAAAGACCCAAAAAAAAAGGAAAAGGAAACGAACCAAATGCTTCGGTTACTCTTGGTGAAGATGAAGTCAAACTGTTTTACAAGAAAAAACTTTTAGGAATTTCAAGCTGTCTGGACAACAGCATTCATGTCAGTATATGAATTTGTAAAAGACTTCCTAAATTTCCGTGGTGGTTCTGATTGTAGTTTCTATCACGCTTCACCAAATTGTATGAAACCACTGATTTATATTAAGACTGGAGTGAGCATGTCATTGAAATTTCTATAAATTATTAGTGCGCGGCCTGCGTTAAGAAAGCGGATTTTGGTGGTCAAAGTCAACGGAAAGACGTGGGCTCACGAAACAAAAATTTTTCGACCACCAGGTTATAACCCTTACCATGCGACTATAGCAAATATCAACACTATTTATAATCCAAACACAAAACTTTTAAAGTTTTATTTTTAAACAATGTGCATACTTCTGTGTTTTGCGGATGCCGAAATAGCAACAGAAAAGGAAAAATTCATGACTCTAGTAAGTAGCATAGTATTGTTTATCATTTAAAGTGTCCAGTAGTTTTTTTAACACCCTACTTGAAGAATGTCGAGTGCATTTCACGTGTTTTAATAGCAATCAGTAGTTGTTAACTCATTCATACATCACTTTCATGATACATTATGTTTGGATACATTGTAAGTTAAAGGGATTTCCGGAACAATCATCTTTCGTCTCATTTTGCAGCCTCTGCACTAGATTGCTTGTAAAGCACGGTGTTCATTGCTGCTTTTGTCTCATTTTCACGGCTTTGCCTGCTTCCTTCAAAGGATATCATGAAGCCTGTGAAGCTGAAAGACGATGTTGACTTTGCCATTCTTTTCTTGATTGGAAGATGAATATCAGGTTCTTATTGAAACATTGCTTCCATATTCTTTGCTTTCAGTTTCTGAATAATCATGCTTACATGCATGACAAAATTTTAATGCAAAAAATGTTTTAAATAAAACAACATATTTGGGTTCTGTTCTCGTATTTTAACAGCCAAAAGCAATTTATAAGAGTACAACTATAGCAAAATACCTTCTAGTTATGTTTGGCTAAGGCTTCCTTTACAAAAATTTAATCCTCGAAAATTGTGTATGCAGTATGCTTGATAATAAGTTTCATTTAAAAGTCTTTGCTTACCAAATAAAAACAAGAAAGGTTTTTTGTTTTGTTTACGGAGATTCCTAGTTCGTACAAGTTATTTTTTCCTTCACGTCAATTACCGTGTGTTTACTTTGCTTGGAAAGACTGGTCGCAACATGTGTCAAAGTATCGACTGACGTAGCCTTCCTTTTATTCACTTAAATGGGTGTAATTGAATTTTAATGGTAAGATGTATATTTATAAGAAATTTGTCAACATAGAATAAATAATCAATGTTATCATTTTTTTTTCATTCTTGTAAATGGAATAACAATTTCGTACTTTAAATACTTGCCATCCAGGTGCATGTGTTTTATTATTTTAATGCAATACTATGGTCAACATTTACCTTTATGTCGCCAATTTATAAAACTGCTTCCTCTGTATGCACTAAGTGTGCATGAAGTCTTACAATAGCTGAATTTACACAAGAGCATTCCCTTTGCCCGTCTTTGCTATTCCCACATTTCATTAAAGATGAACAAGAGTTATAAATGTCAGAGAGTGTTTACTCAAAAGGTTTCCGTTCTTCTAGCGACTTAACCTTTCCCCAATCACTTAAAATGCAATTCCATGATGAACGATTGACTGACTCATGCATATAGTATACCACTACAAAATTTGGAGGATATTATCACTGATCAGTAGCTGATTTTCATTATGACTATTTACTCTCTTACTATTAATCATCTTTAATTTAATGTTGGTGCCAGCAAGGATGTCGATAGCTCGTGTAAAATTAAGTTTTCGAGCTAATAGAACTTTGCGCATGCAAGAACAGTGGCGTAGGAACAGTCTAAAGATTGTGGAAACACCAGCTCCTTGGAAAACTTTGTTTAAGAAAACAGCAGCTAAAAATATGCAAAGAGACTGTTTGATTACAAAGGGTGCAAAGATACCTCAATTGTACTTTGCATTTATGCTCTTAAAAAAATTCCAATTAGTAAAGTCTAGCACGTCATTGTCCGCGTTCTTATGTCAGTCAGATGTAATTCTTATAAATGATAGAGTTATGCCCAGCTTAAGTTTGAAATTAGAATCAAGATGTTATTGATAAATAAGTATACTCACAAAGAAAACGACACGTTATGCAACCTCCTAGTTGTCATAATTTATTCACAATTTATAAAATCGAAAACATAATCTTAATTGAAGCAACAGAAATTGTTTCGATTAAAACACAATTCAAAATACATGTCTTCTTCATAATTTAATCATAAATGATAAAAATTTACTTCATGAGACCACCATATACAGTCTGGCTAACCCATTACTTCTACAGTTATAGTATTAAGCGTTGATAATAATTGAACTGAATAAAATAAATCTTCATTCAGTTCCTTAAAAGTATCAATTTACTAAGATTGACCTTTCAAAAGATGCGGCACTCATTGCAAATCTCCCTTATTTCTACATTTGATAATTTTCTGCGTTTGAATTATGTTCCGATATAATGACAGTAATATGTAATCATCTATAAATAAGATATAAATCTATATTATATACATACATTTGTATCTTACTAAAGCTGATTAAAGCTTACATCGCCTTTCAGCAATACAAATCAAAAGTAAAACTCCAAAGATTTTGATATTCCGTTTGCAACAACCGCAATGTACAATAAACTTTTTTTCGTTGATTTACACTTTTCTCGATCCAATCAATACTATAATTATTATTATGTAGCAGTAATCCCAAGTTACAAAATTGAATCAAAGTGCTGAGCATATTTAGATTTGCTTTTAAAAGAACAGCTATTCCCTTTAAGAGTAAGTTTGACATTATTTAACAATAACACATGTTTAAACGCTGATGTGATGCTAAATATCACCTCTATAAAAGTCATCAAAACAAAAACAAACACACACCATACTGAATATCACAAGAATTAAGTTCTGCATTAAAGATATAGCTGTATCCTCCTAATAAATATATCTTTCAAGGTAAATGTGATTTTAAAATTGAAAAGCTCCTCTACATTGAAAGTTTCAGTTCGTTTGGCATAATTTTTAATGTATGAATTGTTAGAACATAAGCTTATTTCATCTTAAGGCTAATAGTCAACTCAATTGTATGACAATTCATAAATAGCATTAACTGTACGTTGCTGGTCATAGATACCATAAAATTCAGATCCACCCCTCCAATAACTTTTTAAAGCCTGTGGTCAAGCTATGTGAAGAATCTTAATTATCCATTAGAGGAAGGAAATTAAATGCATGCTGTTTGATCATTTTCACTAAAGTGGATGTTTTAATCAGATTCATGTCATATAACGCTCTCATAAGGTAAAATTAGTTTTGCAGTGGAAAAACTTTGTAAAGTTCCTTATTGCTCACAGTGGCAAACTTTGATGGCTGATATAGCTTATAATTTTTTAAGTAAACACTTGCACAATAAAAATTCCAGCATCACCCAGTGTTAACTAAATACAACTAATGATCACATCACAGAAAAACCATTCAATCATTACTGATTGATATCAAATTTGCCAAAAAAAAGTTGGGGAACAAATAGGACAGGTTATCAACAATTCTTAATATCTATTTTGAGCTAACTCTCCTTTGAAGCGAAAGCATTTGAAAAGTGCTTCAAAGTGCTTTAAAAAGTCCTTTAATCTCAAGGACATTTAGATAAATGGTGCCATCATTGCTGCTGGCACCAATAAAACTTTTTTAATGTAAATGATTTAGCATCATAGTTTTTCCACCCTAAATTCATCAAACATGAATTGTTCAAAATACACAGCTCATGCCGTTACTTCTTTGTAACAGATAAATTTAACGGGATAGGTTTGTTTTAAATATGCAAATAATTATTGCCTTTTTACCATTTGAAACCTAACTTAGAGTACAAATTTGCTATGAGAAATTTGACTAAATTTCGAAAACATATAAGGCCTTGTAAATTATGTTTAATTTGTTTTATTTAAAACCTATGTCGCCACTATGTGGCTTTACATAGACAATAATAAAAATATCGAGGAATAAAGATTATTACTGATAAGAAAAATCTTTCAATTTTTTGGAAGCAGATATATAGCCCAATTCAACATTATATGACCTTTTTGTTGTTAAGGTTTGGTACCAGTGGCAAAGGAAATCGAAGACAAGAAATGCTGTTACAGTGAAAAATAAGAATTACTTTCGTTTATTAACGGCCGAACTATTAAATAGTGAACAAAATCTTTATGAAGTGATCGAAGAAACGACTACTGTTATAAGAATAGCATATCATGATGAATGTGTGGAGAAATGGAACAAAGGTGAAGTGGTGTTGAGAAAAAATTCTTTATGTAAAAGTATTTATAAAGAGCACTGTTTGACATTCAGTCAACTGTTGTAGAACATTGTACACAACTGGTGCACATGTTGAGTAGATCATGTCTTACTTATTTTTCAATAGTGTAGTAAGTGTACTTCATAAAATGTGTAACAGTATGTAAGGAACAAGAACGTGTCTTTAGCATTGTAAGTTCAATGTAATTAAAGGATTTTTGAAAGCGTGTGAAAAGAGCCGATATGTGAAGATCCTATGGAAGGGTCTGAGACAAAACTTACATATCTTAAATAATTTAAAATACACTTTTGTTACAAGTTTGAGCATTAGAAAACAAATGCAGGCTTAATAAAGTGCTAGTTTATTGCACGTTCTTCTTGCGCATATTTGAAAGCTTTCTTAACAAAACTGTGTAATGTGCTCCGTCTACATCGTATTCGATCACTGTAAAAATACGAGATGCCTAAAAGAATAACTTATGAAGTTTTGGTTCTTTTGAAGTTCACACGGCAGGGCCATAACATCTGAACTGTCACGCAACAGTCTACGTTTCAGTCTAGAAATCCATCAACTTTTGCTTAGCTAGTACTTGTATGTTTAGGAAATCCTTTGAAAGTATAGTATCAGTAATCATATATAAAATAGTTTCTGAAACAGCTGGATAAAATACAATACTTGGAATGACATATACATTGCTTTCTGTACATTAAACCAGAGCATGTTCAATTGGCTTGTCAATGAATTAGTCTGGTCTTTAAATAATCAATGATTTGGTGTGGTCTTTGACCTTTATAATTTGGAAAAACATGCAGAAGTTTTGTCACTATTCAACTCGTTAATTTTTTAAGCTAGATGAGAGATTGGAACCCATATAAAGGTCCAGTACAGACAGTAACATTTGCAGAAAACTAGACCATTCTCCAACAACGGAATTCTTTATATTGGACAAAATAATTTACTTTCCAACAAATTCCTCGCCAAAAAGAAGCCTAAACCATTCTGCATTAGAATTCACTTTACCTATAACCACATATTTACACGCAATAAAGAAATCAACAACTTCACATTAGATGGATAGATTAATAAATAGCTACTGCATATTAACAAATATTTTAAGTCCACAATTTTCTAGCAAAACCTTCGTAATCTGTCTTCATTAAACTTTTGTGCGTGGATCACGTTGCAAAATTTGTACTACCTAAGCAAACTTTTATGTCTACAGTTCTTTAAAACAAAACCTTGCACAACTATGGATAACAGTGATTCAACCGCAAGCACAGTTTAAATCAAAATAAATTATGGCAGTTCAATTGTAAATTGAAAATAATTTTTAGTTTTAGAATCAACTTATTATTGATGAATTTCTACAGAATATATATAGTTTACCAGTTAACTCGCCTGTATACGATTTCGAAATGTAAATATAACCAAAAACGAGTTGCAGTGATTTATTTTGAGTTACCTTTTATCTGCCAAAGCATTGATTTTTATCGGGACCTATGTATGTATGGCAACGGGTTTTCCTGGCCAAGAATATGTAACCGAAATGTCGAGTAAGCAAATTTTGAACTCCAGAAACGCATGTCTGAAAGTCAAAAGGCGTGTAGTACATGAAAAATTACACTTTACGCAAACTTGTTAGTAAAATACGTTTTTATCGAAGTCTTTCCATTTTGCTAAAAGAAAGAATAATCGTAGAAAGATATTGCGAAGTTAAAAGTGATGGGGCTCATCTTTATTCATTTGTTTATGATGGTTCCTGTAATGTATGCATGCTAATGGTCTTCAAGATGGATATGTGCATGGTTAGTTAGATTATGTAAGTATAAAATAAATAAGGGAATAAGCTAATTTGACAGATAATAATATATGTCAGAAGTAAAATGGAAGTTCTTACAAAACCTCCGGGAGAAATAGACAACTGAAGAGTCCTCGTTGTCCGAAAGATTGAAAACATAGAAAGAAACGTACATAATTGGTCAAGACCAAAGAGACATAGATAACACAATGAGACTCTCCGAACAGCGAAAGAAAAATATTGCTGTGCTATTCACAAAATTCGACAAAGATTGTGAACCAAGAAAAAACCCAATTATGGAAAAATACAACATCAACTCTCGGTTGCAAAGAGACGACAAAAGTATGTAATGGAGCTTCAACTGCTAGCAAAGAACTGTAATTATAATTACCTCGAGGACAAAAATTGCGGACGAACTAGTTATGGATGGAGTAAATAAAATCAGGAAGTCTTAGGCCTGCGTTAGACGACATATTTCAATGGGACGTATTAATTTTAAATTAAATTCTTGAAAAAAGTGACGGAAAATTCTACAACGAATTTTTTACGAATTCCATATGAGAAAATTGTTTGCGGCCTGGGGCACAAAACGAGGAAAATGAAATGGTGCTAGTTAGAAATGAATCGCAAACCTACAAACTAAGTCCCTAATTGAGTAAAGTTTTGAGTCAATTATAAAAATTCCAGCAACACTTCAAAGGATTAATTCTAAATTAGCCTAATTTTTCTTGGCTCTGTTTACACAAGTGGAACGCCGTCGATTTTATTTTTTGTTTTTTTTTTTGTCAGATAAAAGGTTTCTCAGCTTAATTCATTGAAATGTATTTGCGATAGTATATTAAAGTCGTGGACGTATTATTAAAATGAAACGTGTAGGTAAAATTATGAACATTTTTTTACAATTTCAAATTTTAGGGGCATCAAAACTTTACAGCAACTTTATAGCTCACCATAATATTTACCAGAAAACATACAAATACAATTCATTGAGTTATTTGAAAAGAGGAGATAAATGGAATAGAAATATTTGATAGCCAACACTTCTCTGTTTTCTCACTGCAGTAATAAATTGAAAATATTTAACAGCACATATGCTTAACTTCCGGAAAATTAAAAGCAATGACAAAATGATATGTTGGTCCGATGTGACCTAACGCGTTGTATGTTACAGATGTTAAGATTTGAGGGCGACGGGTAAAATGTTCGTGTAAGAGGTCTGAAACTACTTTTTTTGACGTCGTCTTCGCGGAACTTTAAAATTGTCAAACATTTATCACGACGGTATTGTATTGCTTTAAAACGCACTAATATCATGATTGAATTCAAAAAAGCAAGACAGTGTTTCATAAACTCATATTTCCTTGACGTAAATTGAGAAGAAGAGTTTGTGTTGGTGTACGATGCCATTTTTTCTGAAAATCCCAAATTTTCTTACAAATTGTTCAAAAGATTTAATATTAACAAGATTAACGACGTTGAGATTGAATCCGTGTTTCGTTTTCGCAAAGATGACATACAAACATTTGCCAAGGTATTAATTATACCAAAATCTTTTGTGAGTCGCAGGGCACGAAGATATACAGTATTGGAAGTTTATGATGTATTCTGAAAAGATTTGTTTATCCCTGCTGCAAATGAGATATGATTCTACACCTTAGATAAGCTTTACCAGAATCAATTGCTAGTTCTTACTTAATAATTGATTATATCCACAATGAACATACCTTTGAAATGGAATGAAATGCTGCTTCATCGCCACAATCTTGACGCTTATCCAATGCAATTAATTTCAAAGGAGAAGCTCTTGATAACTTCATTGGCTTTGTTGATGGAGCTGTTCGACCTACAGCCGATCTAGAGAGAACTAACAAACAGTTTATGACATAAACGTGCATATGCTTTAAAATTTCAGCCTATTGTTTTCTCAAATCGAATTATAGGGCATTTATATGGTCCAGATGGTTAGTCCTCAGATTTTTCAATCCTTTCTATGTCTTCAGATGTAGTAGAATTAAAATTTTTATTTCAATTTTTTGCTGAAGGGAAAAAATGATGCCAGTATGTTACAAAACTTTCTGGATTATTGCATGATCAAGAGCAAAAATGTTTCACAAATGATGGTAAATCTCTTTATTTTTATGGACATCCATCATATCCCTTGCGAGTTCGTCTTCAGGCTTTCTTCAGAAATGGTGTACTCACACAGCCCATGAAAGATTTTAATACATCTTTGTGTAGAGTTCGTTTGTCTGTGGAATGGCTGTTTGATGATACTATCAATTACTTTTAGTTTATGACTTCAAAAAATAATTTAAAAATTGGGCTAATTTGTATTGGCAAGATTTACATTGTTTATTTACTGTTAGGTAATGCATTTACATGCTTGTATAAAAATTAAACTTCATGTATCTTTTGCTTAATCCCCCAAACCATTCAGAAATCATTTTGGTTAATCTATGGACATATAACTCAGACATTTTGATACTTTTCAATTTTTTTTATATGGCTTTTGATACACAGGATATAGAGTTTTATTTTAACTAAAGATTTTTGATGATGTTTCAAATCAACTAGAACATTGTAAAGTTCATAAACACAATATTAACTAACTATAGAGTACATTCACATATTGATACAATGTCAAATTATGTTAACATTTTGGATCTTACTTTCTTTGGTTCACAGAGATACAAGGGTAAGAATCAAGTCACTCTACTGCTTAATTTTGTTGCTTTTGCATTTGCTGTTGTGAAAGCCTTATTTTCATTAATTTTGGTTTAATTCGCTTTTATTCGAACTCTTCCTCACATCATTCATTTATAGCTTCATTTTTGTCTAACAAATAGTTCTCCTTTTCATTACCACATATTCTTTTGCTTGTTTGTCGAAGTGTTTCTATTGTTTTTCAAACGAATGGTCTTTGCATCAGCCCGATCTCTATTCTTCCTATCCATTTTTCATTGCTTATTTATTTTGCTCTTGGTCAGAAGTATCTTTACTCTCATTATTTTCTTGCTATACTTTTTGGACTTTACTCAAATCGCGTACTATCCCAGATGCAGATTCTTCCTTTCGTATGTTGATTCGAAGTTGTTTAGCAAGTAGATCATAACGGTCTCAGGTAGATTTTGGGATACTTTGAAATAAATATCTGAAACTAGCTCACATTTTGCTCCCTGTTGCTCTGTTTGTTGCTTCGTTCCAGCGAAAGGATAAAAACTAATAATTTCTCTACTAAGCAGCTTATTGTGCTTTCTTGTCCATAACATCGGCTTTCTAAAATTTAGAAATAATATATTCTCTTTAAGCAGGCTATGGTCGAATAATCATGCAAAATTGACAACAGAAAGCATATTTACGGCTTACAATTCATTGCTAAACGTCACGTTGACGAGAGAACGTGAAAACACAGAGAATGGCGTTGTAAACCTATGCA